CTCGATAGCTCAAAATATAAAGTTATTAAAATTAACTCCAGGTGCCCCGTGAGTTATTTTCTACCATCTGTCATACTTAATAAGACTGAGGTTGAAACTGTCTCCAGCTACAAGTACCTTAGGATCATTTTAAATAAGAATCTCGATTGGGACGAACAATGGGTAAAAGTGCACAACATTATAAAATCAATTCCATTTCTACTCAAGCTCCTTAAACAAATCGGTCACACGCAATCCAACCTCCTGCAAGTCTACAGGTCTTACGCTTTTAGCCACATGATATATAGTGCTCTAGTTCTTACGTTATGCAGTATTTCGGCAAAGAAAGATATTCAACATTTCTATAAAAATGCGTTGCACATCATTGGTATTGACGCAACCAACTTAAGCCGCTTCAATATTTGTTTTAACATTGAAGAATTTAGAAAAACCAATAAACTAACCCGCACTAACAACTTACCAAACGCACTAACACGAACAACCCGCACAACACTAACAACCCGCACTAACACTAACAACCCGCACAACAACTTACCAACAATCCTTCATTCAAAAATACCTTCGTATTCTACGTGATGGTGTCAGTAATCTTTTCCTGCCACGCAACATCGCAGCTCAGCTGCCTTTTCAACACACAGGTAATCGGTTTAATAAACAGTGTTTATTTGCCTACGCTCTTTGTGCTACACTTCTTACATTTTTAGCAATAAAGAAAATTGTACAATTCATTATTTGTAATGTTAATCTATTTTAAATAAAAATTTATATACACATATAAAAAAAAAAGTACCAAGCACCTCGCCGCAATAGAAAAATCAAAATTTGTTTCCTCATGTGCATTAACTAATGTTAACAAAAATTCTTTATTAGCACATAAAGCCACACACAGAGACACTCAATGCTAGAAGCAAAACTTTTAACATCAACAACTTTTTTACCGAGCAAAATGAATCCAGCCTTCCAGAAAAAGTTGCTAATGCAGAGATCTTGTTGATGGCTTTCATGGGAGAACATAACACATTGTTTTTACGAGCCGACCATTTGATTGAATGCTGTAATGTTCCCAGAGAGCACAATTGCTAAAGAAATGAAATTGAAGCGCATCAAGGCCGCTTTTTTGTATGGCATTGCTCATTTTGAGCAAGTTGAAGTTGGTAACATTTCTATGAATGCTGCTAGAGATAGCCTACCATTGTGGCTTAAAGTTGTAGTAGCAAAAGAAAACATGAATTTCAGTTGATACAAGGTGTAATTCAAGTCCAGCAACATAAATTTCTGCAACATAAATTTCAATAAAGCTCATATTTGTAGTGAGCATTTTTCATCTGGAGTCAGAATTGATATTCCAGTCATAGCGTTGATATTCCATATGCGTTGATATTTCATATGCGACATATGCGTTGATATTCCAGACATAGCTGCACCACCAAGCCAATAATGGAACGAAAATACACAAATGCTCTGACCAAAATAACTAAATTGCAAAAAATTGAAAGGGTTAAAACGTTGAATAAAAGGTTAAACCTTGATATAATAATATCTTTGTCTAAACATTGTCTTGTTCGTCAATAACCCTCAAACCAATATGTGTATGTTAAGAAACCTCCTTTAATATTAAACTACCAGCTAAACAACAGTTGTTTTCAAAATTAAGATGCTTATAAAATTTTTCAAGAAAAACTAATCAACTCAAACAACTTTATAATACAATTTAAATGTGAAAAAAAGTAAACAAAATAAAGAACGATATATTACATAAGAAATATTTAAGTTTGACTGTGAGAAATCAAATTTTAAGCAAATAGCTAGGCGAATTTGAAAAAGGAGTGTTTATATATTTCAAACTAAAGGTAAACCAAAGCAAGTTAAATATTTATGGTCGATATATCAGAATATATTTAATTTGCAATTATATAGGAGTTCAAATTGCATATCTAGCAATTTGAACTCCTATATAATTGTGTAGCACCATTCTGCCACTTAATTTGATATCCAGATTGTAAAGGTACAGAAATCAGACATCTTGTTAAGAAAACCGAGTTGTTTTTAACTTTAACATTGTGCAGGCACGCACTTTATCTTGATGTTATTGAGTTTAACATAGGTCTTGCTGAAAGCACCATATGTCGTGTTTTCACTGGGTGGGTTGTATTTATAAATGCACTTATATTTCGTTGATAATGCTTTCTGAACATTTTGACAACATTTTAAAATTATAGCAAAGTGTTGAAGTGCCATAAACTCATATTTATGTCCACGTTCGAAAATTTTTATGTTTTGTGTGTTATAAAAATCATATGCGTTTAATCCTTTCTCAAATATCTTCCAAAAATTTGTATATTTTTACTGCCTCTAATATCCCTAGCAATGCTGGCAATCAGCTTCCTGTTATTTTTCCTTTTCTTGTGCCCATCCACTCTTGGGTATTTTTCTTGGCATTAATATGATTTGTGTATTGTCTTTGAGTTGATATCAGGTTGGTCAAGTTCATTTGAATACGTGGATGCTCATTTAAAAGTTGCTTACTAGTTTTTTTTTTAAACCATATCTTTTTCAGGTGAAATTGAAATGACTTCAATGTTTACTATATTTGATTTAGTATCTATAATTTTCTCGATACTCTTTTGGTTTTACAAGTTATTTATTTAAAGAACGACTTTATATTTATAGAATTTAATTTATCAACTAGAGAGTTAAAACTATCACGGTCTTATCTGAATCTTAAATGCCCCATTAGTAATAATTCATATTCTAGAAATACTAAACAAATCTTATTCAGCCTTCCTTTAATTTTTTGCTTTATTTTTAAAATATCATTTTTAAAAGATGAACTTTCTGGTCTGCAGCAGCAGTTTTTATATTTTAAATTTTGTTCTTGTTTCTTGCTGATTTAACTCTAATATGACATAATTGGAATGGCGTTTGTTTTGTTTTTTTTTATATTTGTGCCATTTCTTTATCTTTTGTGTGCACGTTAACTCTAAAATTGTTCTCTTCGTGTCCACATAATGCTTTAGGTAAAGAAAGATGCTAAAACATGACAGCAAAGTTCACGAAGACTAACAGGACAACTGTTTTTTTTTTTTTGGAAACACTCATAACTCTAATAACAATTACATTTGCCACCTTACTAAAGAAATAAAATCACTAAAAAGAATATGAGAATCTTAAGAATTTTTTTATAAAAAGAAAAATCTTTTGCCATTTAGTAAGAGTAAAGATTATAGATGTTAGTGTATGTTAATAGTAACGAAAAGATATTAGATGTTCTACCGCGAAACAATACAAACATGTTATACTTTTAAAGCGTCTTTTCTAAAGAATTTGTTATTCCAAGATAGTCACAATATATTCCAAATATGTGGTTTTTATCCTCGTTCACTGTTGTCGGGGCCGCCGAAAGGGAAGCACGAAGATATTTGGGGAGATGAACAACAATTAAAATCATAATGATATTTAATTTTAAAAAAGTAAAAAATTTGTTTTTATTGGTGAATTAATATATAAAACAAATTTACATGGTGATGTGCACCTTAACTTTGTTTATTATACCAATGAACTATTGTTAAATAAATAATTTATTTCTTTAATAATATATTTCGAAAATAAGTTATATCTAACTTTTCTAGCAAACTTCCAGTGATCTTTTCTAACTAACTTTCATGTTAATACAAATAAATGGAAATTAAGCGAATTCGCTGGAATTTTATTTTTTTAGCATAAGGTTTTTCAGGATATATATTTTTTTAAAACGTTTTTAAATATTTTAAATATTTAAAAGCGATAAGCGCAAAATTAAGGATAGAAAAATGAAAATATTTAATATAACACTTATTTAAAAATATAAGTAATATATTATCTTAAGATAAAAATATAAACTTTTATAAGTTTTTAAAAAGAAAAAAGTTAATTCACTAATATTTAGGTAAATGTTATTTTATTGACATTGGCTCAGATTTTGTAATAAAAATAAGTTTATGTAAGCATATTGTGGATCTTTATTAAACATTACGCATGTTTCTAAATTTAATTATAGAAATCAATCGAGATAATTAATGCATTTAAATGGTTCACATTTTTTTTAAGTGTAAATTAATTTTTTTTTTTTTTTTTTCTTTTAACGAACAAAAAGACATTTAACGAACAAAAAAAAAATATTGCATTTTTTTCAGTTTTGATATATTTAATAGTGGCATAAAGTAAGTATACACCATCGAGTTTTGCATACATTTATTATTTTAAGCAATTAAAAACACTGTAAATTGTTGCAAACACTTTTTATTAATCAGAATCATCAAAAACAACATTCTGTATCAAGAACATGCAGTTTGATCAATATTTAGTATGTTAACCTCGCGCTTTAATAACATGTTTCATACGATTTGGCATTGACTCAAACAGCGAGTACTTGTAACATCATCAATATTGTTCCATGCATCTTGCAAAATTAACTAAAGACTATCCAAGTTAGGTGGTCTCTTTCCTTCAATGTTCTTTGCCATAACGCTCCACAAATTTTCAATCGGATTCATGTCCGGGCTCTGAGCAGGCCAATCAAGTACTGCCACCTGATTACGCCGAAGAAAATCTGTGACAGTCTTGGCCTTGTGGCATGGTGCATTGTCATGCTGAAAGAAGAACGAGTTAAGTTGCCCAAACAGTGCACTAGCAGAAGGAAACATTGTGTTTTGTAGTACATCAATGTACTGGTGTTGGTTCATACTTCCAGTACATCGATAAAGGTGCCCAAGCCCATAGCCAGACATACACCCCCAAATCATTAAACTCTTTCCTCCATGCTTGACAGTTGGCGCAATACAGTTTTTACTAAATTTTTCACCAACTCTTCTTCGCACAATTACTCGTTTGGAACTAAGGAACAATTTGAAAAAACTTTCATCACTGAACAGGACATGTTTCCAATCATCTACTGTCAATTCTTTGTGTGTTTTGGCAAATGCCAAAGGTCGATGAACGTTTGAAGCTGAAAACAGTAGCTTCTATGCAGCCACACATCCACGAAGACCTGCTTTCAGAAGGCGCTGACGCACAGTTCGAGTTGCCAAAGTAACCCCATGTTCTTCAGAAGGTTTTCGACCGAGTTGAGGGGCAATGAGTCTACGATCCTGCAAGGACGTTCGAACTAACACTCTGTCAGTGTGTGGAGTTGTTTTCTTTGGTCTTCCAGATCGCCTCTTATCAGCTGTTGAACCAGTTTCGATATGTTTATCTATTATTTTCTTAATATCCGTTGGTGTTGCTTTAAGTTCTTTGGCTATTTTTCTTAAACTTGCACCAGTTTCTGCCAAGAACACTGCGCGAAGTCTTTCTTCTGTTGTCTGTCGACGATATTTGGGCATACGTTCAAATATAAAAATGAATAATTACACAAAATTATCAGACAAATGGCCAAATATGAATAATGAAAAACCAGACATTAATTAATCAGTATTAGCTTAAACTAACTAATTGTAACTAAAAGTTCTCTAAAACCCAACATGCATCTCAACAATGGATAATAATAATTTATTAATGACTTGACCTAAAGTCAAAACTGGTCAGAATTATTTTAAAAGTTTTTAGGACAATAAAAAAAGTTATTTGTTAATTGTTATTAAAAACTTAATTATAATAACAATACTATAACATTGTAAAACAATTACTAACCTTGTCTACAAAATTTGCACAATTAATCAATACAAAACTAACTCTTTAAAGTTGAATTTTTAGTACACAACATGAGTCACACTTGCTATTGTAAACAGGAAGTGCTAAGAATATTGATTAAGTAAATTCAGAGAATGCGATAATTGCTTCTATTATGTTTCTAAAAATAAGAAATACCACATTAAACTATTATATTTACGATTTGGGTAGGGTGTATACTTACTTTCTGCCGAAATAGTAGATTTAAATCATAAAATCTATTAATAAAACCTTGATAAAGCAAAATAATTTGCATAAGCTAACCCGAGTTTGTTTGAAAAACTTTATTTGTATGAAGAATAAAAATCTCAAGTCAAGAACCATAAAGCTGTACGACATTTTTTGTTAACGAATAAATGCATTTCGTTTACTTTTTCTGAAACTTGTTAAAACTTTTTTAAATTTCATTTTTTAGGATATTTTAGTATACTTTGAGGCAAAAAAATGATAAATGAGCTCAGCGATTAATTCTCTACAGACAAGTTATCAAAATATTCAAATTCGTTTTCTAAATAGTAATTGACGCATTCTTTTTTGTTTGGGTCTTCGGATCTAAAAAAAAATGATACAATATATAAAAGACATAATAATTATATAAAAACATATATAATAAATAATATATAAAGTAAAATAGAAAGCTAAAATAAAACAGTTTAGCAAGTAAAAACGTAAACAACTTTAAAAACCAATAGTAATTTATAAAAAATTTTTATTTTTAATTATTTTTTATTATTATTTATTTATAAATTTTTATTGTTACTTTATTTTAGTTATATTATAACTTTATTTATAAATTAATTATTACTTTAAAATAAAAAGTTTTAATTGGTGACACTAAAACATAAACTTAGCCTAACTTGTGACATTAAAATATAGTTACTATTAGAGAATTTATGGTAATCAAAATAATTAATACTAAATAAATTTACTAAAACATAATAACAAATACAATACTTAAATTAAAAAAAAATAGATCAGACGAAAATAACAAGCAAGTTAAAAATTAAAAAGTCTTATGATTTGTTTTTCTATAAAATAAGACACGATAGTCTCAAAGTTATGTTATTTATAAATGATGAAAACTGAAACTATAAAATTGCAATCAAACAAAAAATAGCACCACTATTAAAGTGAAATATCTGATTTAAAATAACTTCTGCGCTCTTCATTAAGTTTTTTCTAACGCGCATCGCTGACATCATTTTTTGAAATGTTCGGAAACTTGCATATTGTAATTCTGTAATAATTTTTACAATTAATACAGAAAATACAATATGCAAGTTTCTGAACTTTTCAAAATATGAAATCGATTGATGAATTTAATTCAGAAATTTTAAAGTATAAGTGTTTAAATTTAATGCTTTTTTTACCTGTTTCTAAATGAAAGACAGCCCAATAAAGGCCAGCTTTTTTTCAAACAGCAAACTTTGAAGAGCCTTTTTCTCCAGATAGTTAAGCATTCTCAAACTTATTTTTTTCCAAAAAATGGCCTAATAATTGTTTGACAAGCTTTTTTCCCGAAGGTGCTGTTAAGACCCTATTAGGAATCATTTTTTCAGTGACTTCTTTGTCACTAAATGTTGGCTGTAATGTATGGGAAACTAATAAATGTGCTGGTACTTGTTCTGATAGTTGTGATAGTTCTGATTATTCTTAAAGTTCTGATAGATCTGATAGTTGTGAACATTGATAGTGGAAGGTGTGAATTGGTTAGCAATGTTGGTTGTGAATGCAACAATAGCGGAGGCGTTTGTCTTACAGAATATAGTTGTGCTGGTAGTGAAGAAGAGGAAGAAGTCATATATAGTTTTGCTGGTAGTGAAGAAGATGAAAAAGACATATAGTTGTGCTGGTAGTGAATAAAATGAAGAAGGCATTTAAAATGTATTTTAAGTCCATTGAAAGTTTTCTGATCGAACTCAATTTAATTGAAAGAATTTTAATGAAACTAATTATGATTGTTAAGAAAAAGAGAGGAATTAGGATAATCATTAATAGAGTCATTAGTTGAAAAATACTAAAATTGTTTGGATTGAGATCATATTGAAAAAGGAAGAATTTCTGGTAATGTTTGTGATAAAGGAGGTGCTATTTGTTAACTTGATGGTTGTAAATGTAATGGAAATGGTTTTGAATGGGTTGTTAGTGGTTGGGAAATCATTATTTTTGCTTTTTTTTAGCAACAGTTTAAGCCACCTCCTCTGCTTTGCTAACAAGCCCTAAAATTGAAATGAATCCGCACATTTTAAAACATAGGGTATTATAAAACAGAAGATATTATAAAAATTAGGGCCAAATAAAAGTTTCAAAATAAAATATATATTTAAAAGTAGGACATTTAAATTCACTGAATGGTCAAACACAAGCAGTGAATGTTTAAAAGAAAATTAAAGTACACTAAAATAACCGAGTAATAGTCTTAAAACAACTGACAAAGTAAATCACAAGTGTTTAGTTATTATAGTTACATTTAAAGTTTAAACTAGAAACTAGTAAAAGTAGAAACTAATTAAACTAGAAATGCCAAAATTGTGCTCAACTTTGTTAGAAAAATGCCACAACTAGTTAAGAGTCATTTTCTGAGAAAATCAGGCAAAAGTACTGTCGGCTCAAAAGTGATATCCTTTAATCGTGCTCAATCTTTTATACAGTAAAAAAAAAGCCTGTAAGTTTTTTAAAAAAAAATTTCTAGTTCCTGAGTTATGGTCGGTCAAACTTTTGCCCTTTTAATACTTGGAAAGTAACTTTTGGGGTTTTGTGATTTTTAAACTAAGATTAAAACCAATGAGACCACTGCACACTAAGTTTCTTTTCATATTATGGAAGTATAGGTAGAACTTTAAAAAAAATCAAAAAAACCGAGGACAACCCTTTCTTTGTCTAAAAATCATAAGCTGAAATCACACATTTTTGAATTTAGGGTCTATTTTAAATACATTTATCTCAGAGCGTAAAAGGTGCCCGCAACTTATCTTTTTTTTTTTTGAAAGAGTATCTCATTTTTATTTGAATGGTCTAAAGAAACTTAGAGGATATTGTTTACAAAAATACTTATGAGTCATCAAAGTGTCAAAAAATGTTTTAATTAGTGTTCAAATATCAGCCATTATGGGAAATGGGAAAGGTCCTAAGATGTAGGTAAAGCCCAACCTTTAACATATTTGCTAATGTCAGAACATTCTTCTTCAAATACCTCCTGTGAGTTTGGTTTATAACTATGTAAGTTTGACTGATTTTGCATCTTCATTATGAAACTCTGTCTCACATTATCCATTCCTGATTTTAAAATGCCGATAATGTGTCTTCCCGACATCATGTTTTCTTCTAGTTCTTCTGATGTATTGAACATTACAAATTGGCTCAGAGCAAAAGTGAAACAAATTTAGTGATCTATCTTCGCGCAACTTTTCCTTCATATTGCTTTTAAAAACACTTGTTTTCTTGTCAGTGTCACTATATGGGTGTGTTAATAACATTTGCAGACTAAAATTGACATTAGAATATTCTTGTTTAACTCCTTCGCCAACTGTATGGTATCGCCACATTGTCATAAAGTTATGAAAGAACTCAAACGAATTATACTGACTTATTTTTGGCTATTTTTGTTCCACTCAACTTCCTTATGCCCTTTATAGTTGCAACACCAACAGCAGAATTTTTCAGCCCATGTCCGTAATGTAAAGCAGTATAAATGTCCTCTTGACACACTAAATCGTTACCAGCATCAACAAAGCTACGAATCAATGACTTTGCTCCGGCAGCTTCCCTGTCGCACTGATCCTTGCCCCAACAAGGTTCGGTATAATCGTAGCGCTTAAGATGTATTTGGTTATTTTTGCACAACATAAAAAGAGCTTCCATTATAAAGTCGCCATGGTACGATGAAGCATTGTCAGATTTTGCAAAGTGTTTCTCAACACCAGAATGGTCATGCTTAAACTGTGGAAGAACTAACTGGGCAATTGATAGTGTTTCCGATAAACCTTGTTCACACCTATAAAGAGCTGTAAAATACACCTTTTGCTGTAAAATGTTGTTTTTCTTAGTGCAGAAAATGTCTACATGCAGTGCCATCCCCTTTTTTCCAAAATATTCTTTTTGACCTCCCTTGAATTTGGATGGTAGAACTTTTTGGCAATAGTCTTTCAACCAAAATCCAGTTTCTTCATCAAGGCTTTCAAAAGCAAAAACTTTGGCTTTTTTCTGTTGACAATCACGCGTTAAATGTTTTTTATAATCAATGATATCTTTTTCAGCAATTTCAATATCATAAATAGTATCCTCGTCGGCTGAATTATTTGATACTAATCTTTTTATCTCAACTAAGAATTTGTTTAAATTTTCACACTCATAACAAATGTTATCATTAGGTGCTATTGAAATCTGTTGCAATTGCTTGTTGGTTAAATCAATCAAAGCAAATATTGGGCAGACAGAATTAGGGTAGGTCGCAGTGCAGTTAAACTGGAAATTAGTTTTGTAATATCATTTGTTGCGTTTAAACAAATTACTCAGCTCTCTATTCTTGTACTTCAAAGATAAATCTTGCAACATAGAGAAACCATTTATAGCTGCAGCAGTAATATATTCCAGTCCCGCTAAACATTTTTGCTGAGATGGTTTAACAGCATGAAGTATTCGCCACAAACTGCTT